TAGAGAGGGAGCAGCATTAAAGATTATGTAAGTATGCGTGCCAGCCATTACTAGTTACTAATTCACTTAACATGCACATGTGGAAGAAAAAATAAAACACAGTAAGATTGCATGTGAGGGCATGCTCTGTTCCCTCCAACAGCAAACACGCTCACATCATGTCATCCTTTTTTTAAAGGTCACATATCCTCCTCCTCCTCTTCTTCAGTTTAAATAGTCTCAGAGCTCCTCAACATGTGTGTGAAGTTTCTTGTTCTAAATCCACTCTGATCCTGTATTTGATCATGTCTATAAACCCCTCTATTTCAGCCCTGCTCAGAACAGACTGTTTCTGTGTCTGTACCTTAAAATATGTAAATGAGCTGTGTCTGACCACGCCCCCTCTCTGGAAGGGCTTGGGTGTCTCGGGCTTTCTCGCTCCATGTCCTATTGTTTACAGTGAGAAGGCAGACTCAGAGGGCAGAACAAACACCTAGCTGTGGGAGTGTCACCCACCTGGGGGAGGGGCTACTGCCCTTTGTGATGTCATGAAGGGAAAATCTCCAAACACCTGTTTGAGCACACATTTTCTGAAAAGTGGAGCAGGCAGAAGACGGAGAGGATGGACTTTTCTCATCATTGGGGGGTTTGTAGACAGACTAGAGACACATGTTAGAGTTAGAGGAACATGGGAAGTGGATTTTGCGTCATATGTGACCTTTAAGAAAGCTCACTGTTAGCAACATTACTCACACTTATGAGCAGCATTAGCAACAAGCTAAGTCATCTTCTGCTTTAACTTCACTCTAAGACACTTGGACCTTCTTAATACTCAAAGTTCTTTTAAGCATCTGAATTCTTCTCCTACTCTTAGCAGCAGACGGTGAGCAGCAGCATTAAATCTACACGTTTGTCCTGCTCATCTCACATTTTCCTTTCGTTCATGAGACAGCACATTTATTTGTGCTCTGTCGATCACAGGTGTCATCTTGTATCAGCTCTTCTATCCATGAGGATGTCAGGGTCATCAAATCCACACACATCACCCATCCGCTGTTAGCACTAAAAGGTGCTAATCAAGAGCGATGTAGGTTTTACATAAATCAATGGTTAATGTAGCTGCCGATAGAGGACAGTGATCATCATCGTCTTGAGGGGAAAATGTGTCTCTAATTTCCATCTCACACATAAATACCAACACCTGCTGATGAACTAGCAACAGAAGGAGACTGTTACCTGTTGATAATATAGACTGTGTAATAAGATGGACAGCTCTAGAGCTTCCTCATAGTGAAGCCAAAAGATTTAGAGCTCCCCCTACTGACTGGCACCAGTATAGGATATAATATATATATATATAATATTTTAAACCTCTTTACTTTTTCCACTAAAAGACCGAGAGCTGACAACGGCAGCACCAATTTCAACTTTTTATCAACATTATTCTCCATTAGTAGACTACTTATAATACCAGCAGCACCCGGCTTGTAAAAGTGACTTGGCCTTAAAGGGGGGGGGGGGGGGGGTGGTGCTGAGACTACAAACAGAAATCCTTTCTTTGCAGGCTGAACACAAGAGACAACATGGCAGTTTTCTGAGAGCTCTTGATGTATGCAAAGCTTTTTCTTTTATCTCCTAGCATCTATAATAGCTCTCCTTTAATGTAAGGGGGGGGGGGGGGGCGTAATGCTCTTCAATGATGGAGTGTTTTCTTGAGGCTGTTTGAAAAGATGATAAAGTGGCCGACATTGTGCATTACATTCAGAGTATTTTCTTTGCTCTCTATTTGAAGGGATTCATGTGAAAGCTTCAGCAGCATTGATTCATCCCACCAGTCGGTTCTCACCTTTACACTTACACTTTCTTTATTGTCATTCAAACTTGTACTTTACAGTGCAGAGAAGAACAACATTTTGTTGCATTTGGCTTGTTGTAGTGCAGGATAAAAACAGCAGCATGTATTTAAATATAAAAAAAAAAATTTATTAGAGGCTGCACAGATTGCGGGAGTCCTTCCTTTATAAAAAAAAGGGCTTTAAGTAATCTGACTTCCATTGAATCCTGTTGAAGAGCCGCAGCCCCGCCTGCTTCTCTGAAATACACCGCCCTGTAATTGACGCGATCAATCAAGGAACATTCTCCTAGGTAAGTGGAAATTAGAGGAGCGATGTCTCAAGAGGTTAGAAGGTGAGAAGTGCTTACCTAATGATGTGACACACAGCAAGCAACCAGTCATACAAAGCCAGTGTTTGCCTAACAGCTAATAAAGCTTTGGAAAAAGAAATCACATGTTCAACTCAAGCAGCACACTCCAGTGTTGAAAAGTGAAGATGATGCTTAAGTGTAAAATCTTGCAGTTCCTTGAGTGTCCACTAGAGGCTGGCTGCAGAAGCACAGGGAGTCACATACACACCTATTCAAAAAAAACCTGCCTTTAGCTTACATTGTGCAGCACCTCTTTTTCATACAAAATCATGCACATAATTCTGATTCGATAATAAAAAACACCTCGTGAAAGAAATAATAATAATACTCGCCACTGTACATTTTTTATTTACAGAACTTCTGATTACAAATTACTGCTGAAAGACAAAAAAATGGCAGGAAGTCAGAGTCAAGGCACGGTTCGATCCCTCCTCACAGAGTCGTTGTGGAAACAAAATGTAAACATAATTTAAAGAGCACCAAATAAACAAATCTCACATGCACTCGTACCGTTTTTAAAGTCAACACTACACCCAACGTCCGGCTCGTGCACTCCGCAGAACGGGGGGGAAATCATCCTTTCCAAAAATATAGAGTGATAAAAAAAATCATGTTCCTACTGACATCGTCCGAGTCTAGAGATGCAGGTGTCAGGGAGAAGTCAGCTGACACGTACGAGCCGTGTAGTGTCACATACAGATGTCGTTCAAGTGCAAAATATGAGGTGCGACATTTGATTAGCGTAGCACCAAACGTTGAGCAAAGAGGCGACCGGAGGATCTCGTCTTAAATGTAGCACCAGCTGCTCTAACAGCAATGCAGGAGGTTTTAAATGGTTAGTCGAACTGAGAGACGGCAGCACCGACATGTCAAAGGATTTTAAATCTGCACGTTCACGTTGAATTTCTTTGATTTGATTTCACAATAACTCGGAGGAAGTCCGCTGAGTTACTCTTCGTGATGATGAAACTAAACGCTACAGGTCGTAACCAGAGGTGTCGTGTCTTTGACTCAGTTTCATCGTCTTCCTCTTTTTATTTTTCTAAATTAAACACTTCACACTGAGGGACGGAGAAAAAGAACAAAGTCTCCATAAATATATTCAAGCGCGGCTGAAATCAAATCTCGACATCAGAATACTTTTTTTTTTTTTTTTTTTTTTTACACCCTTCTTCAGCCCGGCAACACAAACAACAACAACAACAACAACAACAACAAAATGTGCTTCATGTGTAACGGCACGAATCTCCCCTTAATGGTAAACAAAGGCTTTGGTAACGTGGCAACAAAGACGGCGAGATGGACGCTCCAGATGTGTCTCTGTGGACGAACGCGGCGGTCACATTCACAGAGAAGAAAAAAACTAGAGAAGTTTTAAACAGAAGAAGAAGAATGAAGACGATGATGGCGGTCGTCTGTCCTCAGGCAACAAACTTGTTCTTGGTGGAGGAGCCGCTCTTGGTGGCCGTGTCTGCATGTGACTGGTACCCGATGACCACTTTTGGCGGGACTCCTAATCTGTCTTTGTACACTCGCCTACAGAGGGCGAGAGAAACACAAAGAGCGCACGTCAGTAAATACAAACGACTTTACTTCTAGTCGTTTTAAGACGAAGTCCACTGAAAACATTCATTTAAACCCAGGGGTGAAAGGTCACATCCCAACTGTAATAAGCCGTTTGAATACAAAATATAAACTCAATGGCCCCGTGTCCACCGAGCGGTTTTTTCCGGGCAGAAAAGCGCTTGCTGTGCGCTCGGGAGCACTTGCATAAATCAGCCCGTCTGCGCCGCCCCTCAGTGGCTTTAAGGTTAGGCTTAGCCGCTACAGTAACACGTGGGTCTACTATCCCGCTGTTAAGCTGAAGTGGTCACTATTGAGGGGCGAGTACTTTTCTGAACGCTGACCACATGTTTAAGAAAAACATGCTCCCTTTACATGAGTCCACACGTAGGCGGGTATTTTTTCCTCCTGCGTTTCAAAAAAAATTCTTGGTTACGTCTGCCATCGCACGAATCTCATCAACAGAAGTGACAGCGTCGCATGATGACATCACACGGAGGAGAAGCCGGCGGACAGCGTGACATTACAAGAACAAAAATCTGTTTTCCCGTCTACACAGAAACAACTTAAACAAAACTGCCCGCCGACATGTGGTCGAGGCGTCAATGACTCCTCCCTCTAACATGTCTTGAGAACGTGTTGAGTCCTGAGCTCACCCTATGTGTGTGATGGCCTCTTTGTTCTCGAAGTCCGTGGTCCATACCGCTATCTTATCTCCTTTGGCCCGGACGTTGATGACGGCGCCACACACGTCGTCACTGGAGTCATCAAAGGCTTCGCCCACGAGGCACAGGAGCTGCAGGAGAAACAAACGGCTCGTTATTCTAACGGGCCTCTCTCACAGCAGACATTCAGAGCGTTCACGGGAGGGCGAGCACAGGCGGTGTCGATGACGCTAACGATGGCTCGGTCTGTTCGGGCGTCACAGCGAGCGTCGACGATCAGACGCCGCTGTAAATACCAGGATGGTTAAACCAGAGCAGCTAAATGGAATGCAGCCATCGTTCACACCTCATCTGGACTGAACGTACCGTCTCCAACCAGAACCGGTCCAGGTCTGCTCTGCGTTGCTGCTTGGAGAGCGTTATCAGCCAGCGACCACCTCGTCGATTGCGGTCATCCTCCCACATGGGCTCGATGCCATCCTGCTCAAAAACACAGTTCAGAGCTAGAAACAGCAGAAGCATCATTTTCATGATTTGGGCTCATTTATTGTGGACCTGGAGATTTCAGATCCAGGGTTCAAGTTTCAGTCTGGATTAGAGGCTCAGAGGTCAGTCAGACTCAAGCCACAGGACTTTAGGTCAAAAACAAACTCGCATGAAATACAGACAATGACAAACTGACCACGCTGCACAGATCAATTCAGACGGCGATGACGGCACGCTTACCTTGAACAGCGAGTAGTCACAGCCAGACATCAGGTTACTGGACAGCTGAATGTGATTGTATAATCTGGAAAGAGCGGAGGATATGTGGCCTTATGAATCTGAATTTTATACATCATCAACAACTGAAAATACATCAAGGCTGCTAGTATAAAAAATTCAGAGGTTAAAGCAACAGTTCTGTTCTTTGGAGGTGGCGTTGAATGAGGTACATGTCAATATTAGGGGTAATGACCACAGGAGATGATGGTCAGCGTGACCCCTTTAATGAGGAACCCTCCGGAGTGCCAGCACCGGCGCTCTTTTCCAAATATATGCAGATCGTATCTTGTACCCTCATCCTCCTCACGCAGTAAAAAGTAACGGAGCAGAGTCGGTCAAACTGTTTTTCTGCCTGGAAAAAACAACGGAGCTCCACCGACCTACAGCGAGGTGATCTGGCTCTACCACCACCCGACGCCCCTGTCGCCCAGCTACCACCATCGGACTGTGTCGTCCCTACAACCACCGCCGTCCATCCTGCTCCGACCTCCACCTCAGCGGACGAGGAAGTGCGGACAACAGCAACAAGAGGAATACAAAGGAGATCTAAAATAAACACATTTGAAGAGTTCTTCTTGTTGTTGGAGGGAAAGGCTCCATGTGTGATTCCACCGACGTGTGAAGCAGTTACAAACTTACGCCCAGAAATCTTCCACCGTGTCGAACTTGGAGATGAGGCGCAGGTTGGCTTGCCATGTTTTGCTTTTGTCGTTCTTGAAAAACCAAAGAGCCCACCTGCCAATCAGAGCACAGTTACTTCAAAACCATCTGATGCCTAACAGCCTTGTTTTTAATCATGCTGCTCATTAACAACTTGTTTCAAAGGAGGAGATGCACAGATCTAAAAAAAAAAAAACACACCAGGGTATTTGAGATGAAATACACAAACTCACATCCAAGTTTCTTTTAAGACTCGTAGCTGATTAGAGGAAAAGGCGTACATGCAGCGAGCACTGTTTAAACTTGTCGACTCCGTTGATGGAGAGAGGAATACAAAGTCTTACCTGTTTTGTAATGGATGCTTGATGTAAGCTTCAGGACTCAGAACCTTTTGAATCATCACCACACATTTTTCCTTTTCAGGATTTGTAGGAACTGAAGCCGACACCTGGGAAACAAAAGCAACACAAGAAGGAAAATAAAACTCATTTTTGTCCGTGTGTTTGAATTTGGGTCTTTAACAGCTAACAAATTAATGTCCTGACCACGGGGCTGGGTGATAAATTTAATTTATAGATACATTTTATTTGGTGGTCTAGGAGGATTTACAGTAATGAGAATGAAATGAATGAATTTTATAAAGTATTTTTAAAGGTCTTCTAGTTTAAGGAAGGCATAAAGTGATGTTAGTGTTACAGACCCCTGAGCAGACCCTATACACCTGATTTCTACCACCAATGTTTAGCAGCAGGTTTGAGAGGAACACGTCGCACGGTTGGCAAGGAAACATCCCCCTCAGTCATACAGGTGTTATGTCGAGATATGCACCCCTGCCGAGAATAGCAAGCACCCCGCGGGACAACTCATGTGAGACACAATGAAGGCAGACCCCCATTAAGGACACTCACATTTTATGAAGTACAAAACTTCAGCTGCTCTGCTGTCATCACAAAATCTGCCTGACGCTGTTTTCAAACACTTCGGGGGGTGCGTGCCATTCTAGGCAGGGGTGCATTTCTCGGCGTTACACCGGTGTACCGACAGACTCGGGTATCCTCCCCCTTTACTCCCAAACACACTGTTTATAACTTATTCCCTGCGCGTTGCCACACTTCATCCGCAGCTCTTGTGATTGATACACATCCAAACGAGGGTTAACGCTCAGCTGAACCTTAAATATGAACTCACTTCAGTAAGTTTTAGTGCAGAGGTCTGCTAACTTTTAGCTAGCGACTTCAAGTTACCTGCCGAAGTTTACGGAGTGACTGAACTGTTTGTCTCCACCTGAGTCATTTGAGAAGTCGAGTTAAAACGTATTGTGTTAGTTAGCTGGCTGTCGCAGGACACTCACCAGCAGAGCGGTCGCCATCTTCAGGAACTCACAATAAGGGATTTCTTTTTGGCGTTTGTTAAAATAGCTGATTGGACCATCTGGTACTCTCCATGACGCATGCGCAAGAAGATGGATTAAAAAGGTTCATGCAGGTCCGATGTGGGAGTGAGTGGGACACTGTGTACTTTCTTCAACTGTTATAAAAATACAAATAAAAAGCATCATGCACAGATTAAGTTTTCCCAAAGTGGTTTTAAGGAGAAGTTAACTTTTACTTTGTAGTATACATTTTTTAATCTAGTTTTGAAATGTGCACTAAATGCAGAGTATTTTTTTAAATAAATACCTGAACATCATCTCTAACTTTCTTTTGTGCATTCAAAATAACCATCTAGTGATGTGCTGGTGGCCTAGTGGTAAGTGTGTACCCCCATTTGCCCCATAGGCGGAGGCTATAGTCCTCCAAGCAGACAGCCCGGGTTCAAGTCTGACCTGTGGCTCCTTTCCCGAATGTTTATTAATTTATTTAAAATAGAGACTGTGCACATTGATGAGCATTAACGTGTAAATATGGCAGATTGTAGCCACTTTCCACTCGCTCTCTGATTTAAATGAAATGAAGATTTAAATGGCAGGCATGTGGAATAAGGACTTTGACAGCAGGAGGAGATGTCAGTTGATGCTCCAAAGCCGGTTTCAGGAGAGAAGTCAAGACTTTTGTAGTCCAGTTGAAGGATCCCAGTCTTTAATGAATTCAGCTGATAGTGATGTCAGCGGGTTGCGTGTTGTCTAGCTGACCAGGGGCGTGTCCAGACCTTTCTTTCTGACTGGGCCGAACTCGACTGGGGCTCTTGACTTCTTTGCAGGGGGTGGCCTGAAGTGTGATGCGTGCACTAACACTCAACACACAATCATATCTTCTTTACAACACAAGATGATGGCACCGACAGCTGAATGTTTTAATGACACAGACAGAAGATGTCACAATTTAAAGTACTTTCAAATGTGCATGCAAACTCCTGCACAGTCTAACAGTACATCACTGACTGATTGCCTGCAAGAAATCAAATCCTGGTTCACCTTCAACTTCCTCAAATTAAACAGAGACAAAACCGAGCTTCTCCTCATCAGCACCAAATCAACAATCTCCAAACTTGACAGTTTTTCTCTGGCTATTGACCACTCCTCAGTTTCCCCTTCCCCTCAGGTTAAGAGTCTGGGTGTCATCCTTGACAGCACACTATCATTCCAAGCTCACATCAATAATGTCACCCGGTCTGCTTATTTCCATCTACGTAACATTAATCTCCTCCGCCCGTCCCTCACTCCCAGCAGTACTGCCATCCTCGTCAACACCCTGGTTACATCCCGCATTGACTACTGCAGCTCCCTTCTCTTTGGTCTCCCTCTCAAGTCCATCCACAAACTTCAACTGGTCCAGAATTCTGCCGCTCACATCATCACCAGAACGCTCTCTGTTAATCACATCACTCCTGTCCTACAGCAGCTTCATTGGCTCCCGGTTAAACATCACCTTCAAAACTCTGCTCCTCACCTTCAAGGCCATCCACAACCTCGCTCCACTTTACATCTCTGAACTCCTGCACATCAACACACCTACCCGCACTCTCAGGTCTTCTTCTTCCATTCAACTCACTGCACCACCCGCCCGCCTGTCCACCAGGGGGTCCAGGGCCTTCAGCCGCTCTGCCCCCCACCTCTGGAGCTCCCTCCCACCACAAATCCGTAATATTGACTCTCTCTCCATTTTCAAATCTCATCTCAAAACATCTTTTTAAACTGGCATATTCAGTCTGATCATTCTCCACCCGTTCTCATAACTCCTTTACATCCTGTACATCTGTTACTTTGTTGTTTTTATCTCTGCTCTGTAAGGTGACTTTGAGAGTTTTGAAAGGCGCCTTTAAATAAAATGTATTATTATTATCATCACTTTCCCAAACACCCGTTTTATCATCATTCAATGACAGCTGAGATCATCGTGAGCAGTAGTTATGAATGTTGTGATTTATAATGCTCGGACATGCACAGCTGATTGTTAACACTCTTCAGTCTTCTCATCATTCAGCTAACGAGACACAAAAAGGACAAACAGGAGAGTGAACGCCAACTCAAACATTTTAATGACACTGTTTTTGTTTCAAACGTGTGCGGTGCCGTTACAAATCGTCTTCTAACACTGAAAGAAAGCAACGCCGTCAAAACAAGTCGTAAGTGCTGCAGCTGTGAGGGTTAGACGGTTTCAAGGCGGAGTCGTGAAGGACGTCAACGTTTGAGGCGCTTCAGAAGGTCAGCACGGTGCGGATACTGCAATGAGGAAAACACAAACAAACAGGATGAGTACACGTACACACACGCACACGCACACGCACACGCACACACGTCACCTCTTTCCGGCGTGCATGAGGTCGAAGCCTTCATTGATCTTCTCGAAGGGCAGAGTGTGGGTCACAAACTCGTCCACCTTCAGCTTCTTGTTCATGTAGTCTTCTACCAGCTTAGGGACGCTCTCCACGCTCTTCCAGCCTGACAGTAAAGATCATCAAAAACAAATATCACCATCATTTCAGGAGGACTGCCCCTTTAAATCCTCCTGAGCTGGTCGTTCTCACACGCTCCTCACAGCAGGAGACTAACGCTGCATTCATGTGCTGTCGGACAAATCGGAAAAAACGAGATTCCGAGTTGTAAAATGCACATGAACGCCTGCTCACGTCAGAACATCAAATCAGGTGGGGGAGGGGCAAATATGTTTTTGTTAATGTCAACAATTTTTTTTTTTTATTAATCCACGTATTGCACATCAACTTCTTTTTCAAGATTTATTTTTGGAGGTGAGGCGTGCTGTCTGTGCTGTCGGGTTAGAAAGAAAAGTTTGCTCCAGTGTAAACTCAGCATGAAGCTCTGAGTGTGTGCTCAAACATTTAAATATGGAAGAGGAGGTGAGTATGACGTGTCACTCTGAACGCCTCTTCATTTAGAAACGCAGGCGGTCACCTCCGAAGGCTGTGCCCCTCCACACGCGGCCCGTCACCAGCTGGAACGGTCGGGTGGAGATCTCCTGTCCAGCGCCGGCCACGCCGATGATGACGCTCTCACCCCAGCCTTTATGACACGCCTCCAGAGCAGCTCTCTGTGTTCACAACAACAACAACAACAACAACAACAACAACAACAACAACAACAACATGTGGATGAGAAGCTGAATCTGGTTTTAATCTGTTCAGTAAACTAAACTCGACCATGGCGTCGGCGTCTCTCACCATGATCTGCACGTTTCCGATGCACTCAAAAGAATAGTCCACTCCTCCGTCCGTCATCTCCACCAGCACCTCCTGGACGGGCTTGCTGTGCTCCTTGGGGTTCAGGAACTCGGTGGCGCCGAACTCCTTCGCTTTCTCGAACTTGTCGCCGTTGATGTCCACGCCGATGATGCGGGTTGCCCCGGCGACCTTGCAGCCCATGATGACAGCCAGGCCGACGGCGCCGAGGCCGAACACGGCGCAGGTTGAACCGGGCTCGACCTGAGGGGGCACGAGGGAGAGCGGCAGAGTGAGAACTGTTCTCGATGTAGAAAGTGTCGGGGGGCGAAGACGAGAACAAGAACATTTGAAGAGACAAAGCGGTCGGGTACGTCGTCATGCTCTCTGTAAAAACACCAGAAATGTTTTAAACTCTACTGTTTAACTCATGGAAAATGAGACTCTAGGGTACAAATCATTTCTCTGAAAACAGAATAACAGACCCTCTTGGCGTCTTCACCCCCCCCAAAAAAAAAAACATCAAACCTGCATGATTAGTGAGGCTGACCCACTTCAGGGTGAAACATGACAAACAAACACAAAGCGTTCCTCTCTTCTCTTTGTGTCCTCTGGGTGAACTTGTTCTGCATAACGAGCTTTAAACAATTAAATGTGTCACACTTTCTCTCGCTTCACAAAGAATCCCGCCCCCGTCGCTCTGCCTGAAGGCGGATTCTTACAAAGAACCTTGAACCTTCACTTTTTCTAAAAGGAGCTGCTCAGGTCAAATTTCCACACAGTCCGTCAGCGCCTCGCTGCCTCTCTGGTCAATGCTCCCGTCTCCACAGCGGGCGCCACAGTCCGTCTCCAGAGCGAGCTAGCAGCACCACTACGCCCTGCTCTGCTTCAAATACACTCGGAGTCTGTTTTTGAAATAGCACGCTGCATGCACGCTTTCATGTAGTGTGTTGTGATCGCCTGGCAGACGGGTGGACTCAACTCTAACCATCACATGACACGTTTACTTTTAGAGCATCGACCAGTCAGTCATCTGTTGCCCACTCGTCACTGGAACGCGGCTGACTCACGGTGACATCATGCCCTCGCTTTCCCAGGTAAAATCAAAACGCACCATCCCCGTGTAGCACGGTCTTTGTTTCACTCACCTTGGCGGTGTTCAGAGCAGCACCATAACCGGTAGAAATGCCACATCCCAGGAGGCAGACTTTATCCAGAGGAGCCTTCTCGTTCACCTTGGCCAGAGAGATGTCTGCGACCACCGTGTACTCAGAGAAGGTGCTGGTGCCCATGAAGTGAAACACCGGCTTTCCCTTGCAAGTGAAGCGCGAGGTGTTGTCGGGGAGCAGACCCCGGCCCTGGGTTACCCTGAGAGGAGGAAGCACACAAAAAAATGAAACTTGAATTCAGACGCTCAGAGTGAAGATGACTGCGCTTTGACTCGTTTGCTCCGGAGCGCCTGAGGCTTAAAGTTCAGATTCTGAGGATGCAAGTTCTGCCACAAAGAAAAAACACACTTGTGCAGCAGCTCCATCATACCTGATTTTCTGGCATAGGTTGGTTTTGGGATTCTTGCAGAACTTGCACTCCCCACACTGCGGCACATACAAGGGGACGACGGTATCACCTGGGGGAACGATCATCAAATAAGACGCTCTTGTTCACAAAAGCATTAAAAGTATGAACGTCAACAACGCGTCTGAAAGCTTTACTACCTGGCTTGAATTTGGTGACGCCCTCCCCGACGCTCTCGACTGTTCCAGCGCCCTCGTGGCCCAGGATGACGGGGAACAGTCCCTCGGGGTCACTCCCGCTCAGAGTGTACGCATCGGTATGACACACCCCCGTGGCAAAGATCTGAGAGGAGCAGAGTCACAGACAGTTTAAATGAGACGTGATGCAAGAGATGCAAGAGCTGAGCTCTGAATCACCTCAACACGAGGCTCATTGAAATTAAAAAAATCTACAGAAAACAAGTCTGTCTTCAAAGCTGTGAAGTTTGGGCCCCATGTGTTCTTGTTTCAGGGACGACTGATCAAAGACTGAACTGTTAAAAGTTATCCCATGACCACATGAGAATCTGCAGCGCCGTCTGACGAAGTGTGTGAGTCAGGACTCTTCATTTGTATTCACGTCAGGGTGAGAAGACAAGAAACAAAAAAGGCTTGTGTCGGTTTGTTGTACCTTGATGCGGACTTCATGGGCGTTGGGCGGGGCGACCTCCACCTCTTCAATGGAGAGAGGCTTCCCAGCCTCCCAGGCTACAGCTGCCCTGCACTTGATCACCTGAGGACAAAAAAAAACAGTGTTTGTGTTTAACATCAATGAACTGACCAGGGGCGTGACCAGAGGGGCGGCATGGGCCCTGTTAGAAATCTTCTTGGCCACCACAAAATCATCAACTATGATTGGTTATTAGCTTTGTCAGAGGTGGGACTAATGTTGAACCTGTAATTTAAATTGTATATAAATACTTTGCACATGTATTTCATAAGACAGGCACAAAGGAAAGAAACAAGTCCAACAAAAATGTGAAAGCAATCCTTGAAACTCGTCGACAGTTTACAGGAGTTTTCTGTGTGACTCTGGACATCCATCTTTTTGACTTCTTAAAGAATGAAGCTAAGAAGATTTAGGTGTTGCCATTTTTTCTTGTAAATGTGCAATCAGTGAGATGTGTAGTGAGTGAGATGATAAAGGTATCTTACTCTCTGATCATTAAGGAAACATGCTATGTTGAAGTGTTGGCTTCTCTGACAACAATGCAGCAGCCAGTATGTCCTCCTTCTAACTTTAGATTCTGCTCCTGAATGCTCTGGATTTGTTTGGACCAGAGAAGGTAGGCGCTTTTAAGACACACCCAACATGGCCGTTTTGGACGCCCCTCGGTTTGTCAGATATGAGAGCAGTTATCAGGTCAACAGGTGTTGCAGCGATGGAAGCGGTCAAGAGAAGTGGTTCAGATAGAAGTGATTGTACCCGACCTAAAAAGCCTCTGCATGTTTCTAATAAGCTCCACGAGCAGAAACGTGCTTTATTAACTCCCTGCTGCCCCAGAAGACCTCTGGCTTAGGCCTGCCCACCGTGTCTGGGTCAAGGCCGAGGTCAAAGGGCGATCAAGCTTTATCTGGGACCTCGGCTCTGGAACAGCCTCTCACTCTCTCTCTCGTTCAGATGACTCAGCTTTACAGACTTACAGATGGCTTCACCACAGCTGTGCATGTTTCCATGTTTCCATGTTTCCATGTTTCCAGCTCCTCTTCAGCTCTTTCATCGTGTTTCTGTTTTTGTCTGAATGTTTCTGTGTCTGCAGCTTTGACGGTCTCTTTTAAAATGCTCCTGCAAAGTGCTCTACATGGAAAGTATTATTACCAGCATCCGTTACTATCCATGCCGTAGTTGCATTATGGAGTTGCACTTTGAACTCTACCTAAAACCGTGACCTCTGAGATTTCCAGCACTGCAGCTTTTGGATTACCGACCTGCTTTATCTCAAATCTTTGTTTTCATCTTCAGTAGAAAACTTGAAAATGTAAAAAGACATTTCTCTGGAGGAGCTTTGCAGAAACTTTGTAATCCCAGCTGCAGCCGAGCAGAGTCCAAAGTGAATCTCTGTTCTGCTTCATTCAACGGAAGTGACTGTGTGCACACGTGAGCAGGAACAAAGACATCTCATGCAGGTAAACAACAAAAGAAACTCACGTCACCTGCACAGAGAATGAATCATGCGTTCAAGATATCTCGAGAAATGAACTCACTTTTCCATCTGTCTCCATGTTCGTTCCTCGGGCACGAGAGGGGAAGGAGGTGCGCGGCCGTAAAGGAGTAACCACGCGGACCAATCAGGAACGAGGAGTTATAGGCTACGCGTGACGTAAGCACGTCGGAGAAAAATAATAGTTTGTTTTCTATGAACTCAGAGCTGGAGTACAACTTATAATATTTTATTTGTAATTTAGAATATTTTATTTTACTAATATTTACAGTCTGAGTACAACAGAGGATTAGGGCCACGTAAAAAAAAATAATAATTTCGAGATTAAACTCTAAATGACTTTATTCTCGTACATTTATGACTTTAATCTCGAAATGTATTTTTTATTTTTATTTTTTAACGTGGCCCTAATCCTCTGTCGTAATGGAGGCTGATTTTACGTACAAATAAAGATCTAATCTGCTGTTTCTTAGTTGATATAGAAACCTGAGTATAAAAGTGATGATAGTAATTTGACAGAATGAACCTCCTCCTTCCGTTTTAATAATAACATGTGATTTGTGTTTGAGAGGTGAAAAATGTCCCAAATATCAGGTGGGGAAAAGTCGGGATCTTATCCTCTAGATATATAATCCCAAACAAACCTCCAGAAGTCTGTGTGTCATTTCTGGGAACATCAGGAGAGAGACTAAAGCAACAAGAAACCTCCACCCCACCAACCAACCGGGACTCAAGTACACACAATGGAGACTTGGGCATTTTCATCCTGCAGCTCCTTGGCTGTGCAGTACCCTCCCCACCACCTGAGGGCGCCACAGCCTGTTAAGAGTTTTAAAAAAGCACTTTCTTTACTTGTTTCTATGCAGAATTTTTAAATCTTCCCTTCTTGCTTTTATTCTCATCGCTCTACATTCTTCTTCTTCTTCTTGTCCTTCAACAAACCTCAAACTCAAAGCTGTTTGTTTCCATTCCTGACGTCGTCTCCTCTCTCTGCTCGCTCGTTCTGTTCTTACTCTCTGGATGAAAGCGTCTGTAAATGATTCTGAGAAACGTGACTGAGCACACCTGTTTGGGTTTCTGATTCAGAGACTTAAAGCAAAGAAGACGAGACTTACAAAGCACCTTTTAATCAAGGCCTTCAACACAAAATGTACAATGTTCTGCGTAAGATTTGACAAAGTATGGATATTTAAAATGTTTTCAAAGAACAGCACATAAAGGGGACGAGAGAAAAGTCTTCGTTTTAACCGAGACATTGAATACATCGTGATGCATTCAAACGAATGTCACAGCCGAACAGTTCGACACACATTGGGTAAAGGATAATGACGCACGCCATGTTCACGTCGAGATCCTCGCTGTCTGAACCTTTAAATCAAAACAATGAAGATCCATCAAAACGTTTGAGGCCCGTACAAAAAAATAAAACAATAAAGTTCATTCAAGTCCTGAAAAAGAAGAGGCGGCGTCCATGTTCTGAGTTCAGCAGCAGCGCCGTTTGAGCCTTTTCCTTGTAGAGCAGGAAGTGAGACGCCCACGCGGTGAGACGCCCGCTGTGAGACGCCCGCTGTGCGACGCCCACGCGGTGAGACGACCACACGGTGCGACGCCCGCTGTGCGATCAATACCCGCCTGTCAGGAAGTCAAGAAAACAAACATGTAGCTCCAGAGGAGAAGAAAATAAAACTTGACATGTCAGACACTGAAATAAGGACTTACCTCTGAATCCACGTCCTCCTCCTCCTCTCGCTCGGAATCCTCCTCCTCCGCCACGCCCGCCTCCGCCTCGACCGCCTCCAAATCCACCGCGACCGCCACCTCCGAAGCCTCCTCCACGCCCACCACCACCTCTGCCACCCCGGAATCCACCTGGAAACAAAAACAGAGGACGAATGATCAACACTCGTTAACAGTTTGTGCTCAAAGTGCTGTGGCTCAGTGGTAGAGTCGATCATCTCTCAACCGGCAGGTCGGGGGTTCGATCCCCAGCTCCCAAGTTGCTCCCACTGCTTCATCAGTGGTGTGTGAATGGATGAGTTACTTCTGATGGATTCTTTATCAGGGTGTGAATGTGTTCACTTTTATCTCCTTACCTCCACGACCGCCACCTCTCCCGCCTCGGCCTCCTCTGGGCGGACCCTTCTCACCTGGCGGCCTTGGGAGGAACCTCTGCAGTGGGAGGAGCTTCATTGGATCGATATAGAACTAAAAAAAAAAAGAAAAGACGGCAGCACATTATTCTAAAGTTCTCCGCAGACAGGAAGTTAAATCACTTTAAAAATCATGCCTCCTTCTGTACCTTCTGCATCTTCTTAAAGGAGGACGCCTTCATGTTGTCAGAGAGTTTGACTGAAAAGTACTGAAGAGGCAGGTGAAGGAATAAACACGATTAATAACTGACACACATGTTTCATCCCGAGAGGTCGACCTCGGTAAGCGTTCACAGCAGGGGTCCAGAGACGGCACAATAAACAGACGAACGTGAGAAAGGATACGAAGTCTCGCAGCTGGCCGAATATCTCGTCCACCTTCCCGATCTGCTCTTTGTTTTCCAAGTAAACAGGGGCGTTGAAGTAAGGCACTTTGTTTTCCTCCGTCGTACACTTGCACACGATGTCGTCTTCACATGGATGCACGAACTCGCCCAGTGCTGCAGGGTGGAGAAAACAGGAAGTTGACAAGCCGACTTATACCAGGCCGTCCCACTGCACCCTGTTTGACTCAGCTCTCTGACCCTCCCTCCCTCCCTCCCTCCCTCCTCATCTCTTCACCCTGTTTGTCTCAGCTCTCTGACCCTCCCTCCCTCCTCATCTCTTCACCTTGTTTGTCTAAGTCTCGGCTCGGTCTGGACCGTGGGCAGCATTATGCTCGAGCCGGATCCCCCGTCCTGAGAGCCCCTCTACCCTGCAGTTAGTCCGTCCTCCCAGACAACATCCTCTTCCATCAACATGTGTTCACCTCTCTCATCGTTGATATGGTCCATCATTAAGAACAAGTTACTGTGTCATATTTCATTTACATTATTGTATTTTTTAAATATGTTTGATCTGTTTTTAACTTCTATTTTTATTTTTATAAGTATATTCCCGTCCCGTTTTCTGGAGCTGCTGTAATGCACAAATTTCCCCCACGGGGATCAATAAAGTTTATCTTTAAATATCTCAAACACAGGTTATTGTGGTGTTTAAAAAGAGTTCATCAGTGTGAAGGCCCAGCTCTGATATCCACCCTCACCTGAAGCAGAGCTACCTGAAGCAGAGCTACCTGAAGCAGATCTACCTGAAGCAGAGTTACCTGAAGCAGAGTTACCTGAAGCAGAGCTACCTGAAGCAGAGTTACCTGAAGCAGAGCTACCTGAAGCAGAGTTACCTGAAGCAGAGTTACCTGAAGCAGAGCTACCTGAAGCAGAGTTACCTGAAGCAGAGCTACCTGAAGCAGAGTTACCTGAAGCAGAGTTACCTGAAGCAGAGCTACCTGAGCTACCTGAAGCAGAGTTACCTGAAGCAGAGTTACCTGAAGCAGAGTTACCTGAAGCAGAGTTACCTGAAGCAGAGTTACCTGAAGCAGAGTTACCTGAAGCAGATCTACCTGAAGCAGAGTTACCTGAAGCAGAGTTACCTGAAGCAGAGCTACCTGAAGCAGAGTTACCTGAAGCAGAGCTACCTGAAGCAGAGTTACCTGAAGCAGAGTTACCTGAAGCAGAGCTACCTGAAGCAGAGTTACCTGAAGCAGAGCTACCTGAAGCAGAGTTACCTGAAGCAGAGTTACCTGAAGCAGAGCTACCTGAGCTACCTGAAGCAGAGTTACCTGAAGCAGAGTTACCTGAAGCAGAGTTACCTGAAGCAGAGTTACCTGAAGCAGAGTTACCTGAAGCAGAGCTACCTGAGCTACCTGAAGCAGAGTTACCTGAGGCAGAGCTACCTGAAGCAGAGCTACCTGAAGCAGAGCTACCTGAAGCAGAGCTACCTGAGCTACCTGAAGCAGAGTTACCTGAGGCAGAGCTACCTGAAGCAGAGCTACCTGAAGCAGAGCTACCTGAGCTACCTGAAGCAGAGTTACCTGAAGCAGAGCTACCTGAAGCAGAGCTACCTGAGCTACCTGAAGCAGAGCTACCTGAAGCAGAGCTACCTGAAGCCTCTCTGATCGGCTTCTTGAACCGCTGAGCAGAAACGTGAAAACATACAAATGTCATGCACGCAGGACGCCAAACAGTCCAATGTGAGCAGGTTAATGAGGACTCTGTAGCTTCATCGGTCACTTCCAGGTTTCTCTCCTTATGTAGTGTCTTACCTCAGTAGACCCCCCCCCCCTCCCCCCCTCCCTCCTGTCTGACAGGCAGAGTCTCCCGCTGTGAGGAACATATCTGCAATCTGTTTGTAACTTCTTCACAGAGCTTGTTAAAAAAAAAGAAAAGAGTTTTGCATGTATGGTTCATCATCCAAGAAACTACAACATGTCCAGAATTCTGCTGCTCGCCTCCCCCCTCATTGTGGTTTGAACTTCCCACACACACACACACACACACACACACACACACACACACACACACACACACACACACACACACACACACACACACACACACACACACACACACACACACACACACACACACACACACACACTTTGATTCTTTCTTCTACTCGAGCTTCCTGGTTCTGTAGTGAGCTCAGAGATCTGCTGTGTTTGTGTTTGTGTTGTTCTTACCAACAACATATTCTGGAGGGCCGTAGTCCTGCTGTCTGTTGAAGCCCCCTCTGCCTCCACCTCGTCCAAACCCTCCTCCACCTCCTCCTCTGTATCCTCCACCTCCCCTGCCTCCTCCACCTCGGTTAAATCCTCCTCCACCTCCTCCTCTGTATCCTCCACCACCTCGTCCACCTCCTCCTCTGAAAGACATGCTGGCTCCTGGTCTGCAGTGATGAACACGAGGGGGGGAACAAACCAAAACAAGTCCAGAGGACACATTAAACACGTTTCTTTGTTTAGACGCAACAATCACGTCCTGACGTCACGAAGACACGCGGGGGATTAAAAGAATCGCGTTTAACGTTTAAAGCCTGTCGATTTTGCAGAACTACAAAAGCTAACATGCTAGCTCGAGTCAGTCATCCAAACTACAAAACCCATCCGCATTTCCTCAAAAACAAAAAAATAAACCACCAACATGTTTCATACTCACTCTAAATGTAAACAACTTTTACTAAACTACACACACACAACAACAACAACAACAACAAAGAAGAAGAAGAAGCATTACTTCGGTGAGTTCTTGGTGCTAGCTGCTGCGAGCGGCTCCCATGCGACGACAACACGTGTGATCAAGCTGCCGTAAAGGTGCTCACCAGCGTGTGTGGGGGGAAGTGTCGTAAAACGCTGAACCTCGCGCTTCATCGTATTTAAAGGAGCAGACTGTTTTTAATCGAGATTACTCAACAAGACAGAAGAGGAGAGTTCAGTCAGAGTGCGGTTATAGACTGCAGTTTCTGTTTCCTTTTACACTAAGCTGTCACTTTGTGATGCGCACACGTTTGGATATTACGGTAAAGAAATCATTCTTGAAGAAAATCTGAATTTAGGACATTTAATCTGGAAACAAACATGTCAACAGCTGGTCAGGTAAGAATCAAACTTCACCTCCATAATATTTCATATAATAATATGTTTGCTTTTTCAGTTATGCCGTGATAGGAAGTGAATCTGTTGCTGCTTTCAGTAACTTTTATTGTATTTCATCTCCATTTAATTTGTCTTTTTCTGCAAAACAACATTCTTACCCCCCTTTGCATTAATATTCTATAATTGCAAGCAGCTCTACAAACACACCGTGACTCACAAACACACATTTCTGTCTCCCTGCCAGGTTATTAAATGCAAGGCAGCTGTTGCATGGGAGCCTGGGAAGCCCCTGACCATTGAGGATGTGGAGGTCGCTCCACCGAAGGCACGAGAAGTCAGAATAAAGGTCAGCTGCTTTCCACATGTTTGTGAGCAATGCAGAAAAACATGAGTGTATCATTTCCACATTTATCTGCATGCTTCCCTGTGGTAACAGCTGATAACCTTCACTTCCCTTCATGATGCTGATAGAAAAGATGCCACTTCCTCTGTCTGTTAGTGTCCTTTGTCGTATGATTAACAAACTGTCACATGGACTTGTGTGTGCAGGTTGTTGCCACAGGTGTGTGCCGCACAGACTGGGAACACCTGTATGAGAGGGAGAAGGGGATGAGGTTCAGACCTTTCCCGCTGGTGCTCGGCCACGAAGCAGCAGGGGTCGTGGAGAGCATCGGGCCAGGAGTGACCGCCTTCTCTCCGGGTACATTTGGAAGCTCACAAAAAAAATGAGCTCGTGTTTACTTTGTGTTACTGACTGAAGAAGCATTTCTGCCGTTTGTTTGTTTTGCAGGGGATCAAGTTATTCCTCTTTTCTTGCCACAGTGTCAGGAATGTGATCGATGTCAGAGTCTTAAAACAAACCACTGCAGGAAGAACTGGTGCTTTCATCACTTCTATGCACACACATACACTCACCTTTACACTTTAGCTTCAGTGCTTTATAACTATGTGTGGTTTTTTTTTAGGGCAAACACTCAAGCCGGTGTGATGGCAGACGGTACGAGCAGGATAAGTTGCCAGGATCAACAGGTGTTTCAGTTTCTAGGAGTCAGTTCGTTCTCTCAGTACACTGTAGTCCCTGATAGCTCGCTCACTAAGATAAGAAGTGATGCACCGCTGGATAAGGTGTGTCTGCTCGGCTGTGGCGTCTCCACGGGTTACGGTGCTGCTCTTAAAACCGGAAAGGTAAGAGACAAAGGTGAAGAGTATGCTTTGTTCTGAGAATAAGAGGGATGAAGATGTGACACAGTTTAAAAACATTTGAGATTAGAGTTTCTATCTAAAGGGGAAGAAAGTGTTTTTGTATTTGTACTGCCGCCAGCCGTGTTTACTGTACACGACTGGACTTTAGTGATTCCTCTCCCCACTCGATGCAGCTCACACAGGAGACAAACAGGCTGTTTAGGAAACCTCCTACTGTACTATAAGTTTCTACTGATATGTCCAAAATGCAGCGACAGTGTCTGACCTTTTCATTAATGTTAGTAAAACAGTCTAGAGCTTCCCCCTCTGTCTACTGGAGATGTAACGATGCACTCAACTCACGATAAGACTCTCAAGATTTATTTTACAAAATGAGACAAATTATGACAGAAAAAGGTTTTTCATGTAAACACTTTGTAATCTCTCCTGCACTTTGGGGCGAGCGAGGCTGCTTGTCAGTGTGGTTTGGCCTTTTAATGTTTGTTTTTTTCACACGACAAGGGGAGGTGATTTGAGCTTCTCGTTGTGGTGTCGATTAAATGCTGCATCATGTTGGTTGTGCTATTTGTGTGCTTCCCCGTCTTCTTGCAATAATTGCACACAGGTTTCTCACCTCTTTCATTTTCTGACTTGGGGAAGCCAAAATGTTTCCACACCTCCGATTTAAAAGACGATGGTGCATCGTCATCAAAAACTGTAGCTTTATCCAAATTAGTATGAAATTTTGGCAATTTGGGAAACTGTGGATCTCATAGGGCTGGGAAATATATTGAGTTTTTAAGATATAGCGATATATTTTCAAACAAGATATAGGGTAATAGAGATATAGGGCCTTTGTGGTCAAGGCCCCTCGCCTGTGGAACAGCCTTCCTCCCTCAGTCTGCCCCCTCTGTGGAATCTTTTAAGTCCAGCCTCAAAACACACTTATACACGTTGGCCTTTGAGTCCTAGTGAGGTTGCACATACTTCTTTCAAATGTACTTCTATCAAATGTCTTATAATATTATTATCTAATTATATTGTTAGTATTCTGTTTGCATGTGTGTAGGCAAACTTGTATGTGTGAGTTTTGCCTTGTTATTTTAATTTTTTTTAAATCTGTATTGCTCTCTTGTTTCATGTACAGAACTTTGGTCAGCTGTTGCTGTTTTTAAATGTGCTTTATAAATAAATGGGATTGATCTCATCAGGCGTTGTTGTTGTTGTTGGTTACATTCTTTTTGCTCCAGGTGGAGAAAGATTCCACGTGTGCCGTGTTCGGGCTCGGCGCTGTTGGACTGGCCGCCGTCATGGGCTGCAAGGCTGCGGGGGCGAGAAGAATCATCGGGATTGACATCAACCCTGCCAAGTTTGAGAAAGCCGTGACGCTCGGAGCGACAGACTGCGTCAACCCCACAGATCATAAGAAACCCATCCAGGAGGTGGTGCTGGAGATGACCCAGGGAGGGGTGGACTTCGCTCTGGAGTGTCATGGAAGTCCGTCTGTCATGGTTTGTGTCTCGCTCGTGTTCAGAATCAGATTGACCACGAGGCTCCACAGTGTGACTTGTGGTTGGTCGGTCAGTCTTTATGTTCAAAGAGCTTTCATCATAACTTCCACAAAAAAACAAAATAGTCACTCAATTACACAACTCTTCATTGTGCAACTGAAACGTTTCAACACTCATGGGAGTCTATGAGTTTGTACATTTTTAGAATAAGCAGTATTTTTGATTTGTCCCAGACCGCAGCTCTTGAGTCTACAGCAGATGCGTGGGGTCTGTGTGTCATCGCTGGCTGGAATGAGACGGAAACGATGAGCGTCAAGGTGGAAAAGATCCTGATGGGACGCACCTTGAAGGGGACTTATTTTGGAGGTGAACTTTAACATGTTATCATGCTCTTTATAATACTTCAATACAAGTCAAAATACACTCCAAAGTGTCAGAGGTTAAAGGTCAATCAGTGAGATGTGTAGTGACCCCTGTAACTTTTAACTGAAGAGGAGATGACACGGGCTTTGAATGCTTTATAACAAAAATCAACATCCTGAGAGTTTGTAGGAGTCATTTTTCTGTGTCATGATTTAACTTACTGTTTGTGTCTTTTCCTTTAGGGGTTTATTAATGTCTGTTTTGTGCGTCATCCTCTCCTCAAGGTTGGAAGAGTGTGCAGGATGTACCTAACCTGGTGGATGAGTACATGGCCAACAAGCTGCAGCTGGACGAGTTTATCACACACAAACTCCCACTCAATCAAATCAATAAGGCCTTTGACCTGTTGAGCAGCGGGAACAGGTAAGGCCTGACTTATCAGGGTTACTAGATCTGTTTGTGATTATTTTGACGCATCATTTGGGGTCAAGGAGTTGGTCATTGCTGAGTTTAACGTTACATGTGTGGGGTTTGATTAAAGTATGAATCACCCACCTGTTCCTCATGTGATGATGACGACTCCATGTAGAAGTCCAGACGCCTTTTTCAGGAAGCAGGTCCGGTTCAAACCCCGAGTCGGTTCACCCTGAAACAAGGGGAACTCTGGGTTTTACATTTTAGAAAGGCGGGTCTCTCAAACCCAAAGAAGAGGAGTAACTCAGCCCGTTCTAGAAAGAGAGGTAGCATCAGCTCTGGGTCAGTTACTACGGTAACCGAGTCTGTGACCTTAACCTGGTCAGGAGCAGGTTTTACTTTAATGAACCCTTTCATGAGTTTCTCTCCGTCTCCTCTCCCTCACGGAGCCAGAAACATAGTTTCAGTCAGTCAGTATCGTGTGTGTGTTAGATAATAAATAAACTAACTAATGTTTATCTTAATGTTCAAATGATTTACTTCACTATCTGTTCATCAAATTATATCCTAACCTTTGTTTCTTCTGTTCCCATGTTTTTGTTCGTAGCATCCGCACTGTGATCAGCCTGTGGTGAAGGAAGAGTCTCCCCTTAAAGTGGAAATACCTTAAAGTATCACGTACGAGTACATTCAATGTGTTTGTAATTAAATTATGTGTAAAACTCTGTAGGGTTTTTAGTCTGGACATTTTTCAAAGAGCACCTGGCTGCAGGCTCAGCAGACCTTGGACCTCTGTTTTAAACATGTGCAAGAAGAGTCTCATCTGTAATCAGGAAATCAAGTGTTTACCAGATCTTATTTGGTATTTCTTGGCAGCTAAAATTAGAGCAGCTGTTTTCTATCTTAAGACTATCTCCCCATCTTGGGTGTAATGGAATCTACAAACAATTGTAATCCCTAAAAATGATGTGCTATGCAGAGAGGAAAAAAGTGAATCCAACAAACAAAAAATGAGGAACACATTAATGGTACGGTACAGCTCTTGCACATCTGGGGAGGGAAAACCAGCTGTCTCATTTTACAACACTTTTTGGTACAGATGACGTCCTCTCTATCCAGCCGAGAGGACGTGACTTTAGAACATCTTGAGACCTGTTTGTAAACAAGTGCAAAGAACACAGTGTCCAAAAGATTACCCTACAAACGGCTTAGCAGAAAGCACATTACTCCAGCTAGTTTGCATTACTTCAACACGAATATCCCTGACACATGCATTAAATGTGGCGTCCACAAGGAGTCTCTGTTTCACAGTATGTGGGAGTTGGATCTGTGCAGTCAAAAAGAGGTGCCTCTTAAATAAATAATATTATACTAAATAAATCTAGTTATTCAGTAGTATTTTAGTATCTAGCCTACTCAATGTTTGTTTCCTGGAGGCTAAACGATGCATGGCCTGCTCATGGAAGAAGTGGACATCCTGTGGAGTCTCTCAGTTGTTTTTGGCTTTTGAAAAGATAAGTTATATCTCCAAAAGAAAACTTAAAAAGTTTTGGGATGAATGGACAAATCTTTGTACAACCTTCTGGAGGATAATGATGAACAGATGTGTCAGTTGGACTGTTGTGTTTTTCTTTACCTGTGTCTCTGACTGTAACGCTTTAACCTTTTTGTGTATTCTTATAAAAGACAATAATATTATTGATGAATAGGGCTCATCAGTGTGGTCCCAGAAATACAAATCCCACTGATTTTCTCCATAGTGGATTTGATTATTAGCCATAAAGTCAAAACCTTCCCAGGTAGACCGACCACGAGCTACTCAAGTGTGAAACGATGGTTTATGTTCCTGTAGGAGACAAGTTACTATGATAGCATCCTCGTTTTCATAAAAACATCATTTATTCACGATGTTAGGGGAAAGAACTACACTACCCACCACCACAGTGTCACAACGACGTCTCTGATTGGTAGCGCTCGCTGTTACCATGGTAATGTTTCACAGACAGATAGTTCTGCTAGCAGGCTAGTTAGTTAATTAGCCATCACGAAATGTACTAATAACCTCGTCATGCTGCAGTGAATAAAATATATCTCTTTATACACAAACTTCATATTACACCACCTGTTTAACAATTTAAAACACTATAATAAAGAGAAAGGTTACATTTAAGAAGAAGCGGTTTCATTCGCAGTGGATTGTGGGATACGTAGTTTATTGACTCAAAACAAACATGTACACACTTGTACCTTTGTCTTTTGTCTTTAAATGTTTTATAGTCATTAGTGTTGTGGAAGCTGGTTGTCTTTATCAATCTGTTGATAAAAGGATTTTGGAGGATTTGAACAGGCAGCAGTGTTCGCTCACTGTGAACAATTCTCTGAAATTACATATTGTTGTACTTTTTCAATTTCCATAATAAATGAAAAATAACTTCCCTGCTCCGTGTTTCTGCGCAGCCCGACTTTAATTATTTCAACCCGGCACAACATGGACCAAATGTGCTTTTATTCACAACGGTTTCCCCGTAGGGAGCCTTCACGTGCCTTTTAGTCGTGAAAGTTTTATGCTCTCCGATTATTCCGGCAGCAAGTGAAGGCATCATAATTAAGATTAAACTAGCTGGCGGATAAACTCCGGTAATGTATACAATCTTCAAAGTCCCACCTGTAACTGAATCAAAGGGTTGTTTTTTTAGTTTCCTGGTAGTTAATATTACTAAAATAACATTCAATAAAAGTGATACAATTAAGCTAAATGGTCAAATTAACGCGTATCAACAAAGATGAAAGTAAAGCAACATCTGAACTGTTAGCATCTGTGTGTTTCACAGGAGCTTTCAAAATGTCTTACTGGATGTGCTGCAACGCCTGCTTCCTCTGTCCCAGTGCTGAGAGGAAGCTGGCTGTCACCACCTGTGGACATGTCATCTGTAGTGTCTGTTTTCAGAAAGGTAAAGACTTTATTATTATGACTACAAAGGGAAGAACAGTCAGTGTGGTTAATGACTCAGAACCATCCTGCTGCTGCCTCCTGCAGGAGGAAACAGCGACATCTGTTGGATTGAAGGTGTTACTGCAGGGAGGATGACTCCACGTACTAAAACTAAAAAGTCTTTATTTTAATGATTGCTCACCTCTTAAACACTTCACTTAGTGTAAGCTGTGGTGCCTTAATCAATCAAACTTTATTTATGCAGCACCTATAGTGCAGAAAAGTTGTTGACTAAAAGTAGTTTATAAAATCATTGAGAGACTAATGCACACCAATAAGAACTAAAAAATATGTTTAAAAATAAAATAAATAAAAGCAACAAGATATTAAAATAAATACATAAGAGGAAAATATTTAAAATTGTAGTAGGATAAAAAGACGATACAGTAATGTTAAGATTTGAATTGATATAAAGAACTATATAAAAGCCAGACTGAATAAATGAGTTTTCAGATTGCGGGCTCCTCTCAGACCCTCAGGAAGGTCGTTCCACGGTCTCAGAGCGTAACAGCTGAAAGGTTTTCTGTCCTGCTCTGTGGAACAACTAAGAGAGAGGAAGTGGAGGATCTGAGGGGCCATACTGGTTCATAAACTAAAATCATGATCTGATAGGTAGTCTGGTGCAAGGCCATGTAAACATAACACTCAGGATACAAAATTTACTTTAACTAAAATATGTATTATAAATAATAAATTATCAAAAAAACAAGATGTAACAAATTAAGGTGTACCAGGCTAATATAGGTTAGACTCTTGGAGCTGGTGGAGAATTAATTAAACACATGACACAGAATGTTGATAACCGGTTTGGTATTTCAAAGTTCAATTTTTAACAAATAACAAAAAACACTTGAACTTAATCAAGGAAAATACCACAATTCAAGAAAAGAAAACAGGCCTTCAATTCACAGATCCTTAAGGGCATTTTTTACCCTCCATACAACATTGGCTAAATATTCCCAATTCTATTCGTATAAATCAACTCACCAAAACACATCACACGTACTGCAGTTATTTGTTTTGTGTGTGCAGATGGCCAAGAAATTCAAATGTTTATTTAGGTAGGGGAAATCCTACCACACCCTTTAACCAGACAGCCAGGCTTGAGGCCTGCCTTTTGAGGGAATCTTGAGTCTTTTGAAGTTGCTCCTTTAGCTCGCCATCTTCTTTGCTCCGGCAACATGGCCTGACCTGTTTAGGGAAACAGGTAACAAAATCACACGTCTGCTCAATTTGGGAGCAGCAATTTAATCAAATGTTCCATTGTGGATGTCTCACAGTGTTCAGTCCTGAAACATTCCTCCTCAGCAGCAGCAGCAGCAGCAGCAGCTCCTCAAGGGCTTGAAGTCTCAGTTGAGTTAAGTCCAGCTTTGTGTCAGGGGTTGAAAAGCACTTTCAGAAGTTCTCCTTGACTGTTTTAGGAATGACTGTGTCCTGCTGCCTTCTGACTGACTCCTTGATTGGTTTCAATCAGGTGATTAGTTTACCTGGGGAAAGGGGATACATGCCTGTTGGCTGCAGGCTGCATCCAATTGGCTCGGGGGATTCGAATGACAGTTGCTGTTGTCCAATTTCAGCAGTGTTACATAATGCTTTATAAACTAATAAAATAATTTTAAAATCAACATGAAAACTAACAGGCAGCCAGTGTAAAGATTTTAAAACAGGTGTGATGTGTGCTCTCCTTCTGGACACACAGAAGTGGGAATACTTTTACATCGCCCATTCAGCAGAGGATCTGTTATAAACAGTGACAACAAAGACTCCTCTTGCATATTTAGTCAGTGCGTACTAGCCAATTAGAGACAGTAGTGAGGGTCATCCTTTCACCATCCTAGGAAAAAATGGCAGCATACTACTGATATTTGTCAATCAATCAATGGTGTGACTGGGAATCAGAGGGGATTTAGAAGATGTGTATACCCAATGAAGACTGAAAAACAAGTAGGTATACTCCATATACCTGCATACACCCTGCACTACACCACTGAGTGTAAGTAGGGCTGGGCGATATGGACCAAAACTCATATCTCCATATTGTTTAGCTGAATGGCGATACTCGATATATATCGATGTCTTTTATTAACAGTGAAAACACATGGAAAAATAAACTACCTGTTTGTGAATTTTAAAAGTAATATTATAAAATAAAAATGTTCCTTAAATCCAATAAAAGAGAGAGAGAGGAGGAGCAGACAGTCAGTCATCATCAGTGAGATGAGAAGAAGGAGACCTGGCACCTCTGTAACGTTATTTTAATGCAACATAAACTATATCCATATTAACGAGATCGTCTTACCCTATATCTTGTTTGAAAATATATCGATATATCTTAAAAACTCGATATATTTCCCAGCCCTAAGTGTAACTACCTTGACCTCTGGGTTGATCTCTCTGCTTTAAAACACAAATTGAGTCCACTTTTTTAATAACAATAACTCTTTCCAGTGTAGTTACTGTGTAATTTTCCATTATTGTATTTTTTTATTAAACTGAAATAATTAACTGATAAATATGTTTGATTTGATTTTTAACTTCTATTTTTATTTTTGATAAGTATATTCCCGTTTTCTGGAGCTGCTGTAATGCACAAATTTCCCCCACGGGGATCAATAAAGTTTATCTTTATCTTTATTTTTATCTTTACCTTTATCTTTATCTTTACCTTAATCTTAATCTTTATCTTAATCTTAATCTTTATCTTTATCTTTATCTTAATCTTAATCTTAATCTTTATCTTTATCTTTATCTTTATCTTAATCTTAATCGTAATCGTAATCGTAATCTTTATCTTTACCTTTACCTTAATCTTAATCTTAATCTTTATCTTTATCTTAATCTTAATCTTTATCTTTATCTTTACCTTTATCTTTATCTTTACCTTTATCTTAATCTTTATCTTAATCTTAATCTTTATCTTTATCTTTATCTTTATCTTAATCTTAATCTTAATCTTTATCTTTATCTTTATCTTAATCTTAATCGTAATCGTAATCGTAATCTTTATCTTTACCTTTACCTTAATCTTAATCTTAATCTTTATCTTTATCTTAATCTTTATCTTTATCTTTATCTTTATCTGTGGTCGTTATGAAGGCAGCATACTGTATTGTTCTGTTACCTGTTGTAATTTTCAGGTAGGAAAAATGATTATAACTTCACTGCTGCTGCCTACGTATGGAGCCAGGACAGTGACAGCTACAAAAAAAGAAACATTGGCATTGAAACACTGGAACACATTGAAACATTACTTTTTCCAGCTCGAGTCTACACGTCCTCTATTCATGCACCAAGAGAGTTTGTCATTTTGTCTGTATTCATTTGCAACTCTCCTCTCAGGCAACCAAGGCAAGTGTTTAATATGCAACGCCAAGTGCCAGATATCCCCTCTCTCTGACAAAGTAAGCATCGTTCTACTCTATCTTTGGGCTGGATAAACTTTCACTTTATTCTAAATGTAAACAAAGATGAATCAATCTTTTTTAGGGGTCATAAGATTTGTCTTCTTTTTCTTCTTTCCAGAGCAGCTCAGAGGTGAAGGCCCTGTTCACCGACATCAATGTTGTCGCAACCAAGCACTTCACTGAAATCAGCAAGGTTTGGTTATTGTTCCTTTAGCTTTATATTCCAAATGTTGAAGGTTCAAGTTAAGAAGTTTCTGTTTGGTGGAGTTATATGTAACTGTAGAGAGTTCCTGTTTCCATTGTGTTGAAAATGAAGCCGATGCTGAAGTGTAAAATCCTGCAGTTCCTGGAGTGTCCACTAGAGGCTGGCTACAGAAGCACAGGAAGTCACATACACACCCATTCTAAAAAGCCTGTTTTTACAGCAGAGATGAACATGTTTACAGCCTGGTTCAAAAAACCAAATAGGTGTGATTAGCTCATGTCTGGATGGACACACACTGTACGGGGGGTGAATGTTTTGATGACTCATCCGTTTTGATTTGATGAAGGATAAGAGTTATTCACAATAAGGCGTGTAGCTGACCTGATTGACAGGTGGGCGCGGTGTAACGGTTTGTCAGGAGGTTTAAAACCCGCCTCAGCTCCAGCTCTCAGCCTGTCGTTAGGTTGACTGAAAGTTAGACTGAGACAGCATTTCCAGCATGGAGACCGCCATCGATGAGACTCCAGCGCCCCCTGCAGGAACAGACGTAGGACGCCACTCAGGCTTCATCCAGTAATATTTACAGTCTATGATTGACACAGGTGGATGATTTAAGATGAAGCAGGTGCTTCATAAATGTACAACTTGAATCAAAAATGAAAAAAAAAGTATCCGGCTTTATTAAGCGAGTTTACACTTTTATACACTATTATTATAAACATATTTTGTTGTTATTTTTTTCACAGACTTCATGCAGAACTGTGTCTTTCCCTTTTTCTCAGGTTATTATGTTCCAGGCAAGACATCAAAAGAGACTTTTGGCTCATTACCAGCAAAGGGTGAGAGACCGCTGCCTAATGTTGCAGGATGTTTGATGGTGTGTGTGTGTGTGTGTGTGTGTGTGTGTGTGTGTGTGTGTGTGTGTGTGTGTGTATTTTAGGGGTTTGCCTCTCTCATTGGGCAGCTAGATTGTCACAGCTGTCACACTCCATTCATTCAGCAATTGTAGAAAATGTGTGACATTTAGTGTTTTTGGTACTGGAATCGGTCTTGGTCTCGAGACCACTTTTTGAAGGTCTCGGCCTCTTCTCGCAATCGAAAGCATCTTGGTCTCGGTCTCAGACTGGGCAGACTCCAGATTTTAAATCAAGATAGGTCAAGACCACCACTGATCGGCTAGTCATCACTGTGATGAGAAGGAAAACTCCTCTTTCTAAAAGAACAAATAACTTTGTTTGATTTTTATCCCCCGGTTACGGACACAACCTTCCCGTTGTTACGGTTGAAGTGAGGGACACGCCCCCTAAACACAAGATGATGATTTTTCTGAGATATTTATGGTGTTGGTCCCTAAATGTCTCGGTTTTTTCTCGTCCTCGGAGCACTCTGGTCTCCGGTATATCTCGGTCTCGGTTAGTGTGGTCTTGACCACAACACTAGTGACATGAATTACTTCAATCTGCCGACCTTGTTCTGTTTTGACTAAAATGGATGTAAACACGTCTTACAGCGCTAACCTTTTCTTTTTGAAATGTGATGCAGAGCGAGAAGCTGGAAGACGTTTTAGTCAAGATGAAGCAGGAAATGCAGCAGATGTCAAAGTAAGCTACATGCTTCTCTTTCATTCTTTCTTTCTTTTACATGTTTATAAAATCCAGTTCATGACATGGAATATCGACTTGTGTTCCTTTTTTTAAAGGAAGCTTAACGAACAGAGCGCCTACATTGCAAAGCTGGAAAACTCTCTTCAGCATCACAGGTACAGCAAAGACCAGACACCTCTTACATATATCCATACTGTGGGTGTTATCGCTCTCAGAAGCTTGAGACTGTTCAATGTTTGTAGGTAGTCTGTAGCCCTGTTGAGACTGCTTAAGTAATCAGTGGCTTCACCTGGGCGGAGACTACAGAAGGGGAGAAGGGACAAACAGCACAGGGAGACATACAGCTGTAACAGTGATGCTCATGAAATAAATCACTGACATAGGGCTTAAAGAGGAGGTTGTAAAACCTGTAATAATCTGGACTTAAATGGGGGTGGTTTTATTTTTAAAGCTTGGAAGAACCTCTTCATAGAAAGTTTTTACAGCCAACTAGCTGTAATGCCCCTCTTCTTCCACAAGGTGTCGTTACATGCTCATGTTCTCCTGAAACCTGCTGCAGCCAGCACTCGGACAGAAGACAGAGAGCCACCTTTTAATAAATAATCACAAGTGTGACTTCTTATTTTTGGGCCACACTTTTATTTATCTTTTAAAGAACAGCTGTACATGTCAGGAGGAGTGAGGTGGATGTTCAGTGGATGTGTGATGTCCTGTTCTATTGAGGTTGCAATGTGTTTGATGGCCCTGTTGTTGAGTTCAGTGATGATGGGTGTGTTGGGAGACTGATTATCATGACAGCTGTGGTTGGGATGCTTCTCTCCTGTCAGATGGGGATTCAAACCAGGAACCTCCTCGCTGTGAGGCAGCAGCGCGAACCACTGCAGCACCGTGCAGCCGTATCTTAAGAGTGATTCATAAACTATTCCCGCCAATATTTAGACTCTGACTAAGTTCTTATGAAAGTTTGTTTTTTATCCTTTTCACTCATTCGATGGTTCAAGCTGACGTGTGTAAGGGAGTGATGTCTGTTATGTTGTTTCTCATTCAGTTCCAAAGTTTCATCAGGGCCTCAGATGAGCCACAGTTCCCACACTCCACAGAGACACAAACCAGGTAAACAACAATCTCACTCTTTTTTATTTAATGCCAAAAAAAGTTTTTCAGGAGTTTCAGGCAAATGTGAAATCACTAATGAAGATTTTTTCTGTTTTTTAAAGGTCCCATATTCTTCTTTTCTGGTTTTATTGCTCTTTAGTGTGTTTTCTAAGTGTCCTGTGCATGTTTAGGAACATCTCTGTGCAAAAATTCAAAGTCCGCGTAAACATGTCTTCTCCTACGTCCTCCTGTTAGCTGTAGCATTAGCTGCATGTAGCGCTCGGTTCTAGGCCCCCTCGATAAAAATGTGTCAGTGTGACGTCTTGTCAGTGTGATGTCACTGATCTAAGCCCATTGGCTCGTTGTGGCCCTGCAGCTCATGTTGAAATTTCTGAGAGGCGTGCTGAGCAACTGACCAATAACGACAGAGCGGATCGGCAGACCAATCAGAGCAGACTTGGCCCACGTGGGGTCTAACAGTTTGGGCTCAACAGAGTGTAGCTGATGGACTCAGAGCGTAGAGGGAGCAAAGGAGCAGTTCATGAAAACAGACACTTTTTAAACTTTATCTATTGTGAACGTACAAAAGTAGGAACATAGATTAATTATATGAACCCAAAAAGGGCGCTATGCTTCTTCTCCAGTCGGCCGCGTTCCGCTGCAAACGCTCTCTACTCAACGATAACAACTGAAAGAAGAGGCTGGTGCTCAGAAAACAAGCGCTAGGTGGACGCGGGGTTTTAAAAAATGCACAGCCGAGCAGGATGTGCAAGAGACTAAAAAAGGAAATCATGCAAGACAAGAATCTCTTTACACTTCTCCAGCTAGTCTGAATTCTCTGCACGACCATGAATGTCTGGCCATCATTAATCGTTAACTCTGCTTGTTGATGTTTCTGTTTCAGTCCTACAGATCCTGTATAACTCCCCCATGTCGCTCTCAAGACACTCGTCAATGGCTAATGTGTGAGTTACCTTCTTCTTTGTTAATCTTTGATTTGCACTCAGCCTTCCTCGGTCTCCCTGCCCTTGGAGCGAGACAGACGGGGAGAGAGAATGTCGGAGGTGTTTTCTCAGTGCAGCACTCTTACGTCCTGGCTTCAGCCGCGGCATCTTGTGTTAGCTTTAGCTGCTGTTCGGCTTTGCCCTGCCCTGCGGCTTCCTGCACACACTCACACACCTGAATAAGCGCAGCCTCACCGGGGGTTTAGTCAGGATTCCCTGTTTGCTTTCCCAGACACCGTTGACACAGGACTGATTGGCTGCCGGAGTTTAATAGAACAAATGTTGTTTCATCCTCTGAGGCTGAAACTTTAGATTCTCTCACTGAGGGAAAGCAGTATGGATGGAAAGTGGAAATGAACCCCCGTGCCTGCAGGGTCTACTCAGCCTGTGTTTAAAGTGAATTGATTAGGTTTGCTCATGCAGAGGTTTGAATATAAGTGGTTATCTCTTTATTTGTTTAACCTTTTTTTGAAACAGGAGTATTCACTGTCACTGTTGTAGAAAAAACAAGAATGAGGACCCGCTTGTAGATTAGCAGAAAGGGATTTAATCAAAAGAAGCACAAAAAAAAGCAAACGGTTTCAGAGTCCAAACGACCAAAATGTCCAAGTAAAAGGAAAAACACTAAATTCCAATCAACACAAAGACATACAAGGAAGAGCTAGCTAGAAGGCAACTGAAATCCAGAGAGGTTGACATATAACTGACAGAGAAGGGAAGGAACACAGAGACTCACTCTGCATCCCTGTGGTGTCGGACATATTACAAAAGTCTCATGTGGAACATCGATGTTATTGTAGGAGGTGTTTTGAAAAAATTGGTTTTTACATTCTCCTCAAAATTAAAGGCCGAATCAGCAGCTTTCTCCTTCAAAATAAAAGACAGACTTCTCCTTCAAAATAAAATACAGACTTCTCCTAAAGTGAAGCTGCTCCATTGTCCCTTCTGGGCCTCCGTACATGTGTGGTGGTGACTGTGTCTGCAGAGACTCTGTCCTCTCACTGGATTTTACTGTTCTGATTTGTGACGGTTGACTTGGGAGGTTTCTGGGCGGAGCTGGTGTGTTTCCTCCAGCCAATGAGAGCGCAGCAGGTGAGTTTAGGAGTGGATACAGTTCAGTGATTAGATGCCATCAAAATCAGCAAATATTACGTAGCAGCAAAGAAGAGAAAATATAATGAGAGAGGAGAAACACCAAGTGGATAAAGATCGTTGTGAAACGAGGGTGAACCTTGTGTTGTCTTTTACCCGTGGACGTGGAGTTGATCTACTTCCTGTTGGACAGGAAGGTGACAAACACCGGCGGTTAGCTTTTGCTAGCAGTGTTAGTTGCAGTGTAGGTACAAGCAGTAAACGTACACACTACATCCTGCAGTGAGTGAGAGCTTCTGGGGTGATGAGCCCAGGAGGAGGGGCTTAGTTTGAATGTTGTGTTTTCATTTTGACTGACTCCACCTTTCAGTGAATCACAGATTAAAGTCTTTAAATTGAAACTGCTAATAAATAATAATAAATGTTCAGGCCTCACTGAAGGACGAGAACAATCAAAGCATACCATGAATGATGAAGTGTGCTCTTCTCTCCTGCAGCGCTGAAAACATGGAGGTGGATGGTCTCTTCAGGAAGGTGAGTTTCATTATTTGAGCTCCAGTTTGAATCCAGTTCCTGTGATACGATGTGTGTAAAGCTCTGTGTAGATTATTCAACATCCTGACATGAAGTTTCTCCGTCTTCCAGCCAAACAGCGCCCCCAGGCTGTCACTAATCAGCCCGCCGCAGGACGGACGAATGGGTATGTGCTTTGCCTCTTTGTTATTCATGTGAACTCATTTGTAGCTTACAGACCGCTGCGGAGGTTTAAGTAGCGTCCACCTTTAAACACTCTGGCTTTTTAATTTAGTTTACGTCCCCTGACGACTCCAGACAAACACCTATCAGGATAAACTGAGAGCTTTGGGCACTTGTGACCCTCATACAGCACACGGGACAATAAGTCAATCACAGCAAAGTCCTCGCCAGAACGCCACTTCAGTGAGGTTTGCTGATATTTAGAGGAGAATCCGTCTCCTTACATCGCTGCAGGATGAAAGTCCACAGACGTACAGACAGCTTCAGTATTTTCTGATGTGTCTGGGTCGATAATGTTGCTGTTTGAGAAGTGAAGGGCAATAACTTCATCATCATCATCATCATCATCATCATCAGAGCATAGCTGAGCAAGCTAACATTAGCTAGTTAACATCAGGATGACTGTCAGCTAGTTTTGTTTTGTGGGTAGAAGAACAGCCCGGGCCATCACATTCAACAACAACTGTCTTCTGCTGTCTGTGTCACTGAGACTGATAACTTCTCCGTGTCGTGCAGCAGCAGGAAGCCTTTCTTACCTGCCATGTGGGCGGTTCGGAATTTCACTGTCTGGGAAATAAAACAGTTAAAGTCTCTGTGTCTCTGCCTGCTGAAGGTATGCATGCTAAAGCTGCAGGTTTAAAAAGCGAGGTGTCATCGTGATAAAGACATAGTTGCTCTGTAATACCCCGACAAAACCACCGTGGAGCGCAGCCCGTGTGAAGGGATTACAGACTCCTCAGATGACCACCCACGGATATTAAACCCATGCAGATGTTGGCTGATGTTTTGTTTAGGATTACACCCCCTGAGTTCCTTCTCTCCTTAAGGTTTGACTTTCATTGTGGCAGGTAAATCCGCGTACAGCCGTCACATCTCATCAGGAATGTCTCGTTCTTCATTAGCTATGTTTGAGTGTTCACTTTGGTACATATCAGCATATCTGCAGACTTCTCCAGTCACAGCAGGACGACATGTGCCGTTTCCTAAATGATACCTGCAGCATGCAAGAAAGCAGAAAAAACATCAGCCTATGATCATGCATTTTTTTAATACTGTGAAATGTAAAAAACATGTCTCTGATGTCTCCTTTAGGTACCATCCCTCATCGATCGTCCGATCAGAACCTGATGGCCAACTACTCAACTCGCTCAGCCACAGTCAGGTGACTTCTTTATCTTTTTAAGACAGAAGGTGAACATACAAACAGTCAGTGAATAAGTAATAACTACAATCAGTGGAAAGTATAATGCAGAAGAAATTGTCAGACATGAAGAGAGATTCAATTAAATGTCCAAAAAAGGAGAGGGAAGAGTCACTTTAAAGGTGACATATCCTCCTCCTCTTCTTCAGTGTAAATAAGTCTCAGAGCTCCTCAAAACATGTGTGTGAAGTTTCTTGTTCTAAATCCACTCTGATCCTGTATTTGATCATGTCTATAAGCCCCTCTATTTCAGCCCTGCTCAGAACAGGCTGTTTCTGTGTCTGTACCTTTAAATATGTAAATGAGCTGTGTCTGACCACGCCCCCTCTCTGGAAGGGCTCGGGTGTCTCAGGCTTTCTTGCTCCATGTCCTATTGTTTACGGTGAGAAGGCAGACTCAGAGGGCAGAACAAACACCCAGCTGTGGGAGTGTCACCCACCTGGGGGAGGGGCTACTGCCCTTTGTGATGTCATGATGGGAAAATCTCCAAACGGCCTGTTTGAGCACACATTTTCTGAAAAGAGGAGCAGGCAGAAGACGGAGAGGATGGACTTTTCTCATCATTGGGGGGTTTGTAGACGGATTAGGGACACATAATAGAGTAAGAGGAACATGGAGAAGAGGATTTAGCATCACATGTTAAAAAACAAAAAGAATAAAACAAAATAAACAGGGAGTATCAGTAACGTCTCCTCTTCTCTCACAGTCGTTTTCGAGGAGCACCGATGACCCCAGATGTTTCATACAGCCACACGTCTGGATGGAAGTCTCCTATCTTCAAACCTGTCTCCTCCTTCAGACACTCCTTGTCCTCCCTGGTGTTCCCTCCTCCATAACACACACACACACACACACACACACACACACACACACACAGACACACACACACACA